CTCCGTACCAGTGTAAATCCAGATACTTGCGTGTATTATTTTCCGTATTCCGAGTTAATTCCGTATTCTCCGTACCAGTGTAAATCCAGTTAATTGTACTTATTATTTTCCGTATTCCGAGCTAATTCCGTACTGTCCGTATATTGTAATCCAACTAATCATATCCTGTTTTCCTTGTATTTAATCACAGGGCGGACCCATTGTAATATTAATCCTTTTCTTTCCTTTATATTTTACTTTAGGGCGGACCCATTGTAATCACCTCGATTCCACTGTATTTATCCGAGAATAAACCCGTTCTTATTGTTTTAACCTTTAAACATCTGTCAGATTTATTTCCGATCCTTCCAAGCGATTACCTCACTAAGCGAATAAGATCTTGACCTCCTTTCCTCCAGACGGCCCTGGAGCTGAGCATATTCGGCAAATAGGAGGAACGGAGGATTATTTATTTAAACCGGCACACAGCACGTCAAACACCGACCGAAAGAACGCTAGCTCTTCCACCGAGTAATCAGAACCGCGTGTCTGATATTATTTTCCGCGGAGTAATAACACATTTCGGAGTCCCGTCCGAAATCCAGTATCGGGAAGGCACCGAAAGCTTCGTTACAACATTAATATTATGGTGTAAGGATATATTCCACAGCCTAACACAAGTTGAAGTGCGCAAATACTTAATTACATTGAAAAAAAAGTTAGTTATATATTTTTTTCATGCAACTAAATACTCGCGCACATCACCTTGCGTTTGGCTCATGCTCTTATTAGGCCTCCCTTTTTCTGTACTTGTACTTTTCGTTTCAGAGCCTTATGTAATTTATTCGTCATTAATATAGCTTTGTTTTCTGTTCTTGCACTGGTGAACTAGTGCAGTAAGCTAGAATGAGAAAAATATCCTTGTCTTACTTTAATTTATTACACTAGTTCACCAGTATAGGAACTGAAAACAAGCCTTTATAATTCATGTATTTGAAAATCAGCGGCAATAGCATAAACATGGCTGACCAATCAGAAGATGATCCCTGGTGTCTCATCTCTGATTATAGTGTCTCTAGATTTCCCCTACCTCATCCCCACTCTGTCCAAAGCTGCGCGAAGCGTGGTCGTTCTCTCTGTAACACAGTATAGTTTATTTTTAAAAAGTAACTTTCCCAACCCTGATGTTTACAACTTGATACTACATCTATACTTATTAATAACTTATAACTATTCTTATATTCCTAATGCCGTTCTGACGGCGGTTCGACAGTGTGATCTGGCACGCGAGCGCTTCGGACGATACGGTCGGCGGCGGCGCGGTGATATCGGTTCGGTACGGTGTGTTCGTATGCGGCCCGGTTCGTTCGGAGTCGGCGCGGTACGGTGGCACGATGTGTGCGGCGTAGGCGCAGTGCGCGTCGCGTCGGCGCGGTGCGTGCGGCGTCGGCGCGGTGCGGTGTCGTATTGCCGGTGACAGCTCACGTGTACGGGTTAGGCCGGGTGTTGTTTGTGCGAGCCACTCAACACGTGGCGAGGATTCCGGGCTTCGCTCAGCTCGCTCTAGCCCTTCGGATAGGATTGCCACTCAACTCGTGGCACGGGTCGGAGAGGATCACCCGCTCAGCTCGCGGTTCTCGGGGTGACGCTCAGCACGCGTCGTGATCGGAGGCAGTTCGGTTTCTCACTCAGCATGCGAGGTTAGGAAGCGGCTCGGACTCAGCTCGTCGTCGTCGTAGGTAGACCTGCTCAACTCGCTGGTCGGGATCTGGTGTCTCGGTAGAAGATTCGGGGGTAATTATGCATAAAAGGGGCCTCCTCTCCGATTTGCTTGATTTTTAAATATGTTGTTGGGGATGTCTTCCCGAGTCATTTCATATATATATATATATATATATATATATGAAATGACTCGGGAAGATATATATATATATATAAAAGGGCCGGACTCAAATAGTTTCGGAGATACAGGATGAGAAATAATTCAAATAATAAATATATAGTAATTCTTTAGTATAGCTGCCCCACCTCCAAAATCAATCAAATTGGTCTCATTCGACACGTTTTTCAACGAGAAACAACTTTTTCCTCAGACAAAATCGTCGCTCTGCCCTGCGAAACGAGATATTAATTGTTAAAGTTGACAACTTTTAGAGTTAGGAAATCTATCATACCGACGAAATGTAGCGACACAACATGGGTTTGCGACTTTCCACGTGAAACGAGATCCACTCCACACCTCAGACATGGTTTGGGTAGGGTTATATCTTAACGAAGTGGAGCCCCCCCCCGAAGGGGGGGCGGAACATACTGTCTCCACGCATGTACTTCCGCCGTTGTATTGTTCCACATGGGTTTGCAACTTTCCACGTGAAGCGAGATCCACTCCACACTCTGACATAGGGTGGGTAGGGTTATTTTTAAGGAGTAACACCACCCCTGAGGTTTCAAAAAATCTATTTTTTTGCTTAAATCTTTAGTTTATAGTTTTAAAAATATAATGCAAAAGGTTTTAGAACGAAATTCAAACGGCATCATAGTGCTAAAGCCGATTGAATGAAGCGTCCTTTTACGCGTCAGTATGCAGCTGCAAGCAATTCAGAGCGGCTCCGCTTTCTCCCTGCTCCGCAGGTATATAGGCCTATGTATCTGCCGCAAAATAGTTTCGGGTTTATAATACTGATGACACTACCTGTATGAGGTCAGGTGATATTTTTGAAAGCGACAGCTGATGTATTTATACGACGCCATCAGTACCCAACTGAAAATCGTGCGCGTTGCATCGTTGGTGTGTTTACCAAAATATTTTGCACAGTATGGATGATAAAGTATACGTAGGTGGGAGAAAAGGTTCTCATGATTCGTCTAAGCGTGCTTCTCGATCCAATATTAAAGGGAGAAAGCCGCAGAATCGATACATGTTCGAAAAGGAAAGCGACAATCTTAGATTAATTAGATTAACGTCTGCAAAGAAGTTAAAGACTTCACATGAAGAAAACGACATAAATTTGTCTCCTACCTTCGAGTACCGTTTCATCGATTTTCTGACCGTTTTCTCTACCTTGTCTCAAATATTAGTGTGCAAAGAGTGCAAAACAAACATAAACTTTACCGATCAAAGCAAGAGAGGTTTGGGCTATAAAATCGCCGTAAATTGTGAAAAGTGCCGCCCAACTATTATCAATGCCGTTCCTATCGTAGAGAAAAACGCCTACGATATTAATCGTCGCATCGTCTTTGCTATGAGGCTGCTTGGAATCGGTCTGAACGGACCGATAAAAATTACAAAATTTTGCGCCTTCATGAACTTGCCGCATCCAATTTTTCAATCTTTTTATGACACTGTTGTAAAAAGTATTTCCATCGCTACTGAAACTGTTCGTGAGAAATCGATGAAAAAAGCAGCTATTGAGGAAAAACGACTCAGTGAAGAAAGAGGGCAAAATGACGGCTTGACAGTGTCTGGTGATGGCTCTTGGCGTAAACGAGGATTTTCTTCTCTATTTGGAATTGCTACGTTAATTGGCTGGCACACAGGAAAAGTATTAGATGTAATAGTTAAATCTAAGTATTGTAAAACATGCAAATTCTGGAAAGAAAGAGAAGGAACTGCTGAGTACGAAGAATGGCTAGAAAATCATACAAACGAATGTCAAGCAAACCATAAGGGATCGTCAGGTAAAATGGAAGTAGATTCGATCGTCGAAATGTTCTCTCGCTCTGAAGAACTGCATGGAGTAAAATATCGTTATTATATTGGTGACGGAGACAGCAAGACGTTTAAAGGAATTCTAGATTGTGAACCGTACGAAAATTTTCCTGTGCTTAAAAAAGAATGTGTAGGCCATGTTCAAAAACGAATGGGCACCCACCTGCGTAACTAAAAAAAACGAAAGGTCTTGGCGGCAAGGGAAAATTGACAGGAAAATTAATTGAAGAACTGTCGGTTTACTATGGATTAGCAATAAGGAGGAACAAAGATTCAGTAGAATCAATGAGGAAAGAGATTTGGGCAACGCTATACCATAAGGTATCCACCGACAGTCATCCGCAGCATCATTTTTGCCCTACCGGCGAAGATTCATGGTGCTCGTATGAAAAAGCAAAGGCCAAAACTGATGTTGCTAATTATAAGCATAAGCCAGCAATGTATACTGAAGTTTTCGAAGCTATAAAGCCCATTTACGAAGAACTGAGTAGTGACCAACTTTTAACTAGATGCGTCGGAGGCTTCACTCAGAATACCAACGAAAGCCTTAATGCAACTGTGTGGTCGATGGCTCCGAAATCTTTTGGAAGTGGCAAAAAATCGTCGACATAGCAACAGATTTGGCTACTTACTATTATAATGACGGTTACGGCAGTATAATGAGAATGATGGAGGTGTTAAGCCTTACTATAGGCCCAACGTGTTACAATTTTTGTGAAGAAGCAGATGCGCGCCGCGTCAAGTTCGCCGAGCGGAGCCTCACAGACAAGGCTAAAGACGCGAGAATAGCTTCCTTATCACAACGAAAACAAGCTGATGAGGCAGCTGAGTTCGTGGAAGGACAGCTTTATGGAGCAGGCATCGCAGATTAAAGGTAAATTAACGTACTTCAATTTTATACGCAAAAAATCAGTTACAAAAACTTTAAACGCGTTTTTCTCAAAACGCACTTTTTAAACTTTGCGTGCAACGCTATTCTTACAATTTTTATCCGATTAACTTGAAATTTTAACATGATCTTCTTCTATATATCGCGCAACAAAGTACGTAGGATTTTCGAGAAATATTGAACACTTTTTTGCAATCACAATTTTTAAAATCAAATTTTCGACCAAAAAAAAGGTACTTTTTAAAAAATAGCTGTCATTTTGGAAAAAATGGGTATATTTTAAAACGGCTACGTAGTTTGTAACTTCAATCAATATAGAAAATAAAAATTTTTGGATTTTTGTTCTAGGGTAAACCATCTCAGAGAAATCCTGCACGCAAAATCGCGTCTTCGGAAAAAGTCGATTGCGGAAATGTACCAGTACGCCGCCATTTTTAATAATTATCAATAATAAAAATATTTTTTTTTAAGTCAAGTATATGCACAATAATGTGGTTTATGTGTTTTTTAATCAAGTTATTCATTTGCCCCCCAAAAATTCCCAAATTTAGATATAGTTTTAGGGCCTCAGGGGTGGTGTTCCCCCTTAACGAAGTGGAGCCCCCCCTAAGGGGGGGGGGGCGGAACACACTGTCTTCACGCATACATTTTTCCATCTACATTTGGTGGAGGGGAGTGACTTATATGTAGGTAGAAAAATATATGCGTGGAGACAGTATGTTCCGCCCCCCCTTCGGGGGGCTTCACCTCGTTAAAAATAACCCTACCCACCCTATGTCAGAGGTGTGGAGTGGATCTCGCTTCACATGGAAAGTTGCAAAACCATGTGGAACAGTACAACGGCGGAAGTACATGCGTGGAGACAGTACGTTCCGCATGACAGATTTTCTAACCCTAAAAGTTGTCAACTGTAACAATTAATATCTCGCTTCGCGAGACAGAGCTACGACTTTGACCGAGGAAAAGTTGTTTTTAGTTGAAAAACGCATCGAATGAGATTAATTTTATTGATTTTTGAGGTGGGGCAGCAATATTGAAGAATTACGATATATTTATTATTTGTATCCTTTCTCAGCCTGTATCTCCGAAACTATTTGAGTCC